GCGCGATCGTCGGCAGCTGCTTGAAAACGCCGCCCTGCGTGGCGCTCTCCATGCCGTCGTTGGCGGCTTGGGCGGCCGAGTCGAAGCGTGGGCCCGCGTCGCCACCGTCGACCTCCGCCGCCGCCTCTTCGACCTCGCTCTCGGAGATTTCGCGAGAGCAGCGCACCGTAAAGTGCGCCGGGTTGGGTGACTTGTCCTTGCGGAAGAACAGGTCACAGTAGAGTACAGCAATCTGGTCTCCTGCATCGGTCACCACATCCAGGCGCCGCACATCCTCGTGCCACGTCTCGCCCGGCAGCGTTTCTCTGGGCACAAAGCGGATGCCGTAGAGCCGGCTGAAGAGCCTCGAAAGACCCTGCATGACGGTTCCAATCGAGAAATAGGCCGCTAGCTGATCAGGGTGACGGACCGGCAGCCTCATGTCGAGCCTCACGCTATCCATGAGATAGTCCTTGTCCCACGGCTGAACCTTGGTAGCCATGCCGTCGAGATGCGTCTGCTTCTGCGCGAGCAGGTCTGCCATTTCCTTTTGGACGATGGGCTTGTTGTGTTGCTGCAGAGCCAGAAGGAACTGCATGACAGACCCGGGGCTCTTGGCCATCATTCGGTCCTTCAATGCCAGGTGGGCATAGCTCTGGAACCCGGACAGTTCAGCCAGTTCCGATCGCAGCTTCAGCATCGTATCCAACCTGTGCACAGTACGGCGCGAAGCTGTGCGGCTCGCGACGAAGACCGCCCTTCGCGTATCCTCATCCTTGACGGTGCGCAGCGCCGCCTGTGCCTCGGCGCTCATGGACGGCAAGCGGACCTTGCCGCCTCGTGTCAGTGCTCGAGCGATGCTCGGGTAGAGGCCGTAGAAGCTCGACGACGGCAGCACGATTTCGTCCTTCTCGGGCGCCATCTCCGAGACGAAAGCCGACCCCACCTCGCTGATTCGTTGCGAGAGATCGACAAACCTGTCGCGCTCCCTCTGCGGCAGGTTGACAGCCGACTTTGTAAAGTCGAGCTTGAGGATCTCCGCCACAGTCTTCTCCTCCTCTGACCAGGATGCCACGACGTCCTTGTTTGCGAGGGCCTTGGTCAGCTGGTCGCCGAGGCCGGTCATGGTGTTGAGGCTGGGTCCATGTACTGTAGGCGAGGGGCCCCCCCGCCGGCGGCGGGCCTGTTGGAACCTGGGATCGGGGGTGTGTCATGCGAACAAAAGTCGGAGAGGTCGAGCCCCGCGACAGAGGAGGTCGCTCAGACGGTCCAAATTCTTGACGATGGCCTTGTATTCGGCAGTGGACGATGCGCCGAGAACCCGGTCCACAATCTTGGAGGCCTTCTGCAGGGCTGCGCCTGGCAAAAACGAGGAAGCCATTGGGACTGGTCAGGTATCGGTTCTTGAAGAGGCCTGCGCTGGGCTGCAGCTCGCTCGCCTTGAAGGCCTTTGCCGTTCGCGCTGGAGAGTCGAAGAGCTCGCGCAGGATGGCATCATCCCTGACTGCCCCGGGGGCAGATCGGTCGACTGGATGGGACGCCGAGGCAGCTCCGGACGCTGCAGACAGCCATGATCGACGTTGGACGCGGGAAACAGAGTCGCGTGCGCACTTGGTGCAGACCCAGAGGCCTCGAGTCGGGGGTTTGAACATTTGACGTCGGAATCTTGTATCAGCCCAGCATGATCTCAAGATGGAGAGAGAGTCGCGTGTGACAAAGGAGAGATGAAGTGCGAGGTCGGCATTGGGACGAAGCATGGGCTACGAATCAGATGGAGCTTTGCTTGGGGGGCTTCGAGGGCAGGCGGAGCTTTTTCTGGAGACCCTACCTGTACCTTCTTAGGTGCCTTGCCTTACTTTGCTTACCTAACTCTTGCTAACCTTACCTTAGACATGGCGAAGATGCCGGAAATAGCCGGGCCACGCACCCGCCACCTGCGCCTCCGTTCCCTCTGGCTTGCTCGGCTCGACCTTAGGTAAGCTCACGTAGTTGGTCCTCGAGCCGAAAGTATCTCTGTTCCGCCCGGTACCAGCATCATTCGTGACGTCCAGTCCTGAAGATTCTCGTGAGACCAGACCACGTCCAATTGCCGCAGACGACCAATTGAGCAGGCCATGGCTGCGAGAGTACTTTTCCAGAGGGTAAGCCCACTCTGCCATGTCACTGGAACCTGCCAACACACTGACGCTTTTTTCCTCAGCGCGCTGCGCCGTTAGGTGCGATGGTCCTCGGAGGCATCGCCCTGGCCCCTTCTACTGTCCTCGCCGAAGCCCCGGAGAGCCGTCAGGTGGGACTCTGCTCACGCCCCCCGATCGTTGCGTCGCCGCCCTGCTGACAGCCCGTGTAGAGCAAGAAGAAGTCCATCTACGACGACTTCGAGCTTCCCGCGACAACGAGCGAGACCGTCGTCGCGCCCCTCCTCGTCCGGCCTACCACAACCGCCGCGTCTCGCCCCGAACAAGACGAGGCGCCCAAGTCCCGCGGCCCTACCCCGACCGACAGGCTGGCCGTCCAGATCGGTAAGGCCCGTCTCGGTCTCTACCAGGTCGCCCTCGGCGCCGAGGACGCCGTCAACCGCACCATGGACCGCGCCTTCAACCTCGAGCAGTCCTTCACCAACACGGTCGCCTCGCTCGCCCCGCCCCGCGAGAGCGGCGAGAAGCTCATGCCCGGCGCCATCTACGTCCTCGTCGCCGCCATGGCCGGCAGCATCGTCACCCGCCGCAGCAACATTCTCTTCCGCGCCACGGCGCCCCTCGCCCTGGGCATCGCCGCCGGCTGGACCGTCCTGCCCCTCACCACCGGCAACGTCGCCAACCTGGCCTGGAAGTACGAGCAGCGCTTCCCCGTCGTCGCCGAGAGCCACCTCAAGGTCCGCGACGGCATCAGCAGGACCATCAGCTTTGCCAAGGTCCACAGCGAGCTGGGCGTGCACTACGTGAACGAGAAGGTCACGGATGCGCGGGAGACGGTCGAGGACTGGGTCAAGAAGGGAAAATAAATCGTCTGTCGGGACGAGATTCGCTGTATCATACATTAGATGCGGATAGAAGGGGAATGGATGTTCCATTTGTGGTTTCATTTGTGTTGTTGTGGCCATGACGAGCCTGTCAGCTCTTTACGTGCGTGACTTTTTTATAGTACGACGGCAGTCCACATGCATGCCCGCTTCTTTCTATCCGTCTCCCGCTCGAGCGTCGAGTCCTCGTTGAAACAAAACAAGGACACATGTTCTTGTCATGCCATGCCACCTCCTAGTAACGCCTGCCAATGCAAACCCAATGTTCCCAATGCCAAAGCGGCATGCCAAAGCGGCATTCTCGACCCACCTAAATTTGACCACGCCTCCAACTCACGTCGGGAGGGCAACAGCTGCCTGCGGCAGCTCGGCAGGCTTTTGGACGCCTCTCGCCGACATGGTCTTGACCGCCTGGTTGGCGCGGTCCTGGCCCGTATTGCCGCCAGCCGCCAGCGCACTGGCGTTGGCCCGCTTTTTGGCCTTCTTGGAGACCTTCTCGCCGTCGGGGCTGAGGTCCAGGTAGAGATCCGTCTCGCAGCACCTTCTCGAGCAGGGCGTCGTGGCCGAGCGCCTGCAGAGCTG